ACAAGAATCCAGAGGTACACACTCTTTAGAATATACAAGGGTTCAGAGGTACACACTCTTTACAATATACAAGGATCCAGAGGTACACACTCTTTAGAATATACAAGAATCCAGAGGTACACACTCTTTAGAATCTATAAGGATCCAGAGGCACACACTCTTTAGAATCTACAAGAATCCAGAGGTACACACTGTTTGGAATATACAAGAATCCAGAGGCATACACTGTTTGGAATATACAAGAATCCAGAGGCATACACTGTTTGGAATATACAAGGATCCAGAGGTACACACTCTTTAGAATATACAAGGATCCAGCGGTACACACTCTTTAGAAAATACAAGGATCCAGAGGTACACACTCTTTAGAATATACAAGGATCAGAGGTAGACACTCTTCAGAATCTATAAGGATCCAGAGGCACACTGTTTGAGATGTACAAGGATCCAGAGGTGCACACTCTTTAGAATATACAAGGATCCAGAGGTAGACACTCTTTAGAATCTATAAGGATCCAGAGATACACACTCTTTAGAATAAAGAAGGATCCAGAGGTGCACACTCTTCAGAATATCCAGGGATCCAGAGGTACACACTCTTTAGAATCTACAAGAATCCAGAGGCATACACTGTTTGGAATATACAAGAATCCAGAGGCACACACTCTTCAGAATATACAAGGATCCAGAGGTACCCACTCTTAAAAATCTACAAGGATCTAGAGGTACAAACTCTTTAGAATCTACAAGAATCCAGATGCACACACTGTTTTGAATATACAAGGATCCAGAGGCACACACTCTTCAGAATCTATAAGGATCCAGAGGTACACACTCTTTAGAATATACAAGGATCCAGAGGCACACACTCTTTAGAATCTACCAGAATCCAGAGGTACACACTGTTTGGAATATACAAGGATCCAGAGGTAGACACTCTTTAGAATATACAAGGATCCAGAGGTACACATTCATTAGAATATACAAGGATCCAGAGGCACACACTCTTTAGAATATACAAGGATCCAGAGGTACACACTCTTTAGAATATACAAGGATCAGAGGTACACACTCTTTAGAATCTACAAGAACCCAGAGGCACACACTGTTTGGAATATACAAGGATCCAGAGGCACACACTCTTTAGAACCTAAAAGGATCCAGAGGCACACACTCTTTAGAATCTATAAGGATCCAGAGGTACACACTCTTTAGAATATACAAGGATCCAGAGGCACACACTCTTTAGAATCTACAAGAACCCAGAGGCACACACTATTTGGAATCTACAAGAATTCAGAGGCACACACTGTTTGGAATATACAAGGATCCAGAGGTAGACACTCTTCAGAATCTATAAGGATCCAGAGGTACACACTCTTTAGAATATACAAGGATCCAGAGGTACACACTCTTTAGAATATACAAGGATCCAGAGGCACACACTCTTTAGAATCTACAAGAATCCAGAGGCACACACTGTTTGGAATATACATGGATCCAGAGGTAGACACTCTTCAGAATCTATCAGGATCCAGAGGTACACAATCTTTAGAATATACAAGGATCCAGAGGTACACACTCTTTAGAATATACAAGGATCCAGAGGTACACACTCTTTAGAATATACAAGGATCCAGAGGTACACACTCTTTAGAATCTATAAGGATCCAGAGGTACACACTCTTTAGAATATACAAGGATCCAGAGGTAGACACTCTTTAGAATCTATAAGGATCCAGAGGTACACACTCTTAAGAATATACAAGGATCCAGAGGCACACACTCTTTAGAATATACAAGGATCCAGAGGTACACGCTCTTTAGAATATACAAGGATCCAGAGGTTCACACTCTTAAGAATATACAAGGATCCAGAGGTACACACTCTTTAGAATCTATAAGGATCCAGAGGTACACACTCTTTAGAATATACAAGGATCCAGCGGTACACACTCTTTAGAAAATACAAGGATCCAGAGGTACACACTCTTTAGAATATACAAGGATCAGAGGTAGACACTCTTCAGAATCTATAAGGATCCAGAGGCACACTGTTTGAGATGTACAAGGATCCAGAGGTGCACACTCTTTAGAATAAAGAAGGATCCAGAGGTGCACACTCTTCAGAATATCCAGGGATCCAGAGGTGCACACTCTTTACAATCTACAAGGATCCAGAGTTGCACACTGTTTAAAATATACAAGGATCCAGAGCACACACTGTTTAATTTCTAAAGAGTGTGTGCCTCTGGGTTCCTTATAAATTCTAAAGAGTGTGTACCTCTGGATCCCTGGATATTCTGAAGAGTGTGCACCTCTGGATCCTTCTTTATTCTAAAGAGTGTGCACCTCTGGATCCTTGTACACACTCTTTAGAATTTATAAGGATGAAGAGGCACACACTCTTTAGAATATACAAGGATCCAGAGGTACACACTCTTTAGAATATACAAGGATCCAGAGGTACACACTCTTTAGAATATATAGGGATCCAGAGGCACACTGTTTGAGATGTACAAGGATCCAGAGGTGCACACTCTTTAGAATAAAGAAGGATCCAGAGGTGCACACTCTTCAGAATATCCAGGGATCGAGAGGTGCACACCCTTTACAATCTACAAGGATCCAGAGGCACACACTTTAAGAGTCTGCAAAGATTCAAAGACAAATTGTTGCTAAATTGTGCGGAAATACAGATCAATACATAGGACAAGTTAGCAGGCAGTGGATCCATTCCATTGTTGCAAGACACATGAGTGCCACACAAACTTATTCTGAACACAAAAACACAAAAATTGGCAACAAGGATTCATGCTATTCAGTCTGGTGTGTGAACTTCACGACACTGTGTTTTGTGTTTCTTCCGAGAAACCACGTGCGTAAACATGGCAGCTACACGCTTCGAGGAATTTGATTCTGACAAAGACAACTTGGACATATACACTTAGAGCCTTTCACATGTGTTCCAAGCTAATAATGTGACTGATAATGATCAGGAAAAGAGCCAGTTTGCTCAGTGATATGGGTAAAAAGTTGAATACACTACTCAGGAATGTGTGTTCCCCCTAGAAACCAGGCGATAAATCATACGATTCCCTGGTAAAGTTAATGAGAAGACATACACATAAAAAAGCCCCAATTATTGTTGAAAGACACAGATTTCATAAACGTGATGGAAAGTCAGGTGAATACCTCAGAGCTAAGGCGTTTTGCTAGTACATGTGACTTTGGTGCAACACTATATGAGCACTCAGAGACTGTTTAGTGTGTGGCATAAATGAATGACTCAATTCAATGACAACTCTCGACAGAAAAGGCTCTGGGTTTTGAGAAAACTTTTGCCATAGCACAGATTATGGAACTAGCAGATATTAATGTCAAAGACATCAGGGGAAGGGAAATGCACTGGCAATAATTAAGGTAGACTGTGAAAGTGAAAGTTTTCAATATGTCAGTTCCCATAATGGACCCGGTCAAAGGTGGGCTGGTACAGACCACGTGACAGACGTGGGGGAACAAATCATCGTTCAACCGAGTGTCATTACAGGCATGTTAAATGCCGTGTCTGTGGTCTGATTGGACATATATTGAAAGAGTGTGTCATGAGGTTAAGTAGCAAATTTGTCTAACAGTTACCATGGTAACATGAAACGTAGAGGCCGTGGCCGTGGAAGAAACCATACTAGCCCGACAAGGCAATCCACAACACCAAACGGGTCACGGAGACAATGATCAACAACCATGAAGAATACCAGATATTCCATGTACAGTCAGAAGAGCTATTAAGATTGATCCATTCTAAGTGAACATGTCCATAGATGGAGAAAAGGTTGAAATGGAAATTGACACAGGAGCAACATATTCCATTATCAGTGAACAGACTTTTATGGGTTGTTGGGTATGTAGAGTCCATAAAATTTCTGAGTGATGGGATTTAAACCACGGACCTTCTGTGGCAAGGTCGGACACCTTATCCACATGACAAAAGAGGGTAACCCCGTCAGCAAGCTGACAAGGTAAAGGATGTCATCTGTGGGATGACTCCACACCCCGCTACATACTCCCCTGTCAACAGAAGGCACGACCCGGGTCGTGTAATAGGATACTGATACTGCTCAGATTTAATATGAACGTGCTCCACTCCATGTTTCCGAGTCCTGTGATAGGATTCAAACCATGGATTTTCTGACCAAAGAGGTCATCAAGCTGACAAGGTAAGGATGTCATCTGTGGGATGACTCCACGCCCTGCTACAGTCAGTAAGCCATTACTTCCATCAGAAATGACGTTGAGAGCATTTAGAGGTGCTAGTATCCTAATCCTAGGCTCGAGGGATGTGGAAGCAACATATGGCAAACAGACACTAGAGAGAAATTAGAACTGTTACTGTTAATATGTTACTGGTTGGTGAATTGAATACCATTGTCAACTTCAGCATCTGGTTGTTGGCTTCAGTATTATTACATATTTCTGCAACATTTTTCTCAACTCTAGAGAGATAATGTGAGTTTATTGATTTGTTTTTATTCTTCATCTACAAACAAGACCAATACGTGTTCATTAATCAGAACATTTCTTAAATAGGTAAACTGAAAATCTATACTCCTACATTTTAGAAGCATACCCAGGTCTAGGAACTCATGATTCAATGTAGCCTAAGCAAACAATATAATTTGTAACTGACTTCATTCTCTTTCACAATCCCTATCATCATCAAACAAGAAATAGGCTTCTCCTTACTGAAGGCGTATAAAACCATCAGCAACACAGGCAACACCTGTGGACCAAAAGAAGGTCTGTAGCCAGACTGGGAAGCACTGCATGGGGCAGGTATGTACATTCCAATGCAGATAATTAATATGTATCTATTTTCAAGTTGTTACAAGTGTACTTTTAGGTGTAGAACAGATTGTTTGCTTTGATTTAAGATGTTTCCCTCGCAGAACAGAAAGGTATGCCATGGCACTAGGCTGGACCCATCTTAATGTACTGGAGGGATGAGACTCAAGAAGCTCTCCTACTTCATTGAGACCCGTGAAGATCCAGGTTAGTATAGGTCTTCAACAACCCATCCAGCAACACAGATCCAGGTGTATGTATAGACATCTTACCCTCCCCCACTGATCATCTTACCCTCCCCCACTGATCCAGGTGTATGTACAGACATCTTACCCTCCCCCACTGATCATCTTACCCTCCCCCACTGATCCAGGTGTATGTACAGACATCTTACCCTCACCCACTGATCCAGGTGTATGTGCAGACATCTTACCCTCCCCCACTGATCCAGGTGTATGTACAGACATCTTACCCTCCCCCACTGATCCAGGTGTATGTGCAGACATCTTACCCTCCCCCACTGATCCAGGTGTATGTACAGACATCTTACCCTACCCCACTGATCCAGGTGTATGTGCAGACATCTTACCCTCCCCAGCAGATCCAGATGTATGTACAGACAACTTATCCTCACCCACAGATCCAGATGTAGGTACAGACATCTTACCCTACCCCACTGATCCAGGTGTATGTGCAGACATCTTACCCTCCCCAGCAGATCCAGATGTATGTACAGACAACTTATCCTCCCCCACAGATCCAGGTATATGTACAGACATCTTACCCTCCCCCACAGATCCAGGTGTATGTACAGACATCTTACCCTCACCCACAGATCATCTTACCCTCCCCCACTGATCCAGGTGTATGTACAGACATCTTACCCTCCCCCACTGATCCAGGTGTAAGTACAGACATCTTACCCTCCCCCACTGATCCAGGTGTATGTACAGACATCTTACCCTCACCCACAGATCCAGGTGTATGTACAGACATCTTACCCTCCCCCACTGATCCAGGTGTATGTGCAGACATCTTACCCTCCCCCACTGATCATCTTACCCTCCCCCACTGATCCAGGTGTATGTACAGACATCTTACCCTCCCCCACAGATCCAGGTGTATGTACAGACATCTTACCCTCCCCCACTGATCCAGGTGTATGTACAGATATCTTACCCTCCCCCACTGATCCAGGTGTTTGTGCAGACATCTTACCCTCCCCCACTGATCCAGGTGTATGTGCAGACATCTTACCCTCCCCCACTGATCCAGGTGTATGTACAGACATCTTACCCTACCCCACTGATCCAGGTGTATGTGCAGACATCTTACCCTCCCCAGCAGATCCAGATGTATGTACAGACAACTTATCCTCACCCACAGATCCAGATGTATGTACAGACATCTTATCCTCCCCCACAGATCCAGGTATATGTACAGACATCTTACCCTCCCCCACAGATCCAGGTGTATGTACAGACATCTTACCCTCACCCACAGATCATCTTACCCTCCCCCACTGATCCAGGTGTATGTACAGACATCTTACCCTCCCCCACTGATCCAGGTGTAAGTACAGACATCTTACCCTCCCTCACTGATCCAGGTGTATGTACAGACATCTTACCCTCCCCCACAGATCCAGGTGTTTGTGCAGACATCTTACCCTCCCCCACTGATCCAGGTGTATGTACAGATATCTTACCCTCCCCCACTGATCATCTTACCCTCACCCACTGATCCAGGTGTATGTACAGACATCTTACCCTCCCCCACTGATCATCTTACCCTCCCCCACTGATCCAGGTGTATGTACAGACATCTTACCCTCACCCACAGATCCAGGTGTATGTACAGATATCTTACCCTCCCCCACTGATCATCTTACCCTCCCCCACTGATCCAGGTGTATGTACAAACATCTTACCCTCCCCCACTGATCCAGGTGTATGTACAGATATCTTACCCTCCCCCACTGATCATCTTACCCTCACTCACTGATCCAGGTGTATGTGCAGACATCTTACCCTCCCCCACTGATCCAGGTGTATGTACAGACATCTTACCCTCCCCGACTGATCCAGGTGTTTGTGCAGACATCTTACCCTCCCCCACTGATCCAGATGTATGTACAGATATCTTACCCTCCCCCACTGATCATCTTACCCTCACCCACTGATCCAGGTGTATGTGCAGACATCTTACCCTCCCCCACTGATCCAGGTGTATGTGCAGACATCTTACCCTCCCCCACTGATCCAGGTGTATGTACAGACATCTTACCCTCCCCCACTGATACAGGTGTATGTGCAGACATCTTACCCTCCCCCACTGATCCAGGTGTATGTACAGACATCTTACCCTCCCCCACTGATCCAGGTGTATGTACAGATATCTTACCCTCCCCCACTGATCCAGGTGTATGTGCAGACATCTTACCCTCTCCCACTGATCCAGGTGTATGTGCAGACATCTTACCCTCCCCCACTGATCCAGGTGTATGTACAGACATCTTACCCTCCCCCACAGATCCAGGTGTATGTGCAGACATCTTACCCTCCCCCACTGATCCAGGTGTATGTACAGATATCTTACCCTCCCCCACTGATCATCTTACCCTCCCCCACTGATCCAGGTGTATGTACAGACATCTTACCCTCACCCACAGATCATCTTACCCTCCCCCACTGATCCAGGTGTATGTACAGATATCTTACCCTCACCCACTGATCCAGGTGTATGTGCAGACATCTTACCCTCCCCCACTGATCCAGGTGTATGTACAGATATCTTACCCTCTTCCACAGATCCAGGTGTATGTACAGACATCTTACCCTTACCCACAGATCATCTTACCCTCCCCCACTGATCCAGGTGTATGTTCAGACATTTTACCCTCCCCCACAGATCCAGGTGTATGTACAGACATCTTACCCTCCCCCACAGATTCAGGTGTATGTACAGACATCTTACCCTCAACCACTGATCCAGGTGTATGTACAGACATCTTACCCTCCCCCACTGATCCAGGTGTTTGTGCAGACATTTTACCCTCCCCCACAGATCCAGGTGTATGTGCAGACATCTTACCCTCCTCCACTGATCCAGGTGTATGTGCAGACATTTTACCCTCCTCCACAGATCATCTTACCCTCCTCCACTGATCCAGGTGTATGTGCAGACATCTTACCCTCCCCCACAGATCATCTTACCCTCCTCCACTGATCCAGGTGTATGTGCAGACATCTTACCCTCCCCAACTGATCCAGGTGTATGTGCAGACATCTTACCCTCACCCACAGATCGTCTTATCCTCCCCTACAGATCCAGATGTATGTACAGACATCTTACCCTCCCCCACAGATCATCTTACCCTCCCCCACAGATCATCTTACCCTCCCCCACTGAACCAGGTGTATGTACAGACATCTTACCCTCACCCACAGATCATCTTATCCTCCCCTACAGATCCAGATGTATGTACAGACATCTTACCCTCCCCCACAGATCATCTTACCCTCCCCCACTGATCCAGGTGTATGTACAGACATCTTACCCTCCCCCACTGATCCAGGTGTATGTACAGACATCTTACCCTCACCCACAGATCCGGATGTATGTACAGATATCTTACCCTCCCCCACTGATCCAGGTGTATGTACAGACATCTTACCCTCCCCCACTGATCCAGGTGTATGTACAGACATCTTACCCTCCCCCACAGATTCAGGTGTATGTACAGACATCTTACCCTTACCCACAGATCATCTTATCCTACCCTACAGATCCAGATGTATGTACAGACATCTTACTCTCACCCACAGATATCTTACCCTCCCCCACAGATCCAGATGTATGTACAGACATCTTACCCTTACCCACAGAACATCTTACCCTCCCCAACAGATCCAGATGTATGTGCAGACATCTTACCCTCCCCCACTGATCATCTTACCCTCCCCCACTGATCCAGGTGTATGTACAGACATCTTACCCTCACCCACAGATCATCTTACCCTCCCCCACTGATCCAGGTGTATGTACAGATATCTTACCCTCACCCACTGATCCAGGTGTATGTGCAGACATCTTACCCTCCCCCACTGATCCAGGTGTATGTACAGATATCTTACCCTCTTCCACAGATCCAGGTGTATGTACAGACATCTTACCCTAACCCACAGATCATCTTACCCTCCCCCACTGATCCAGGTGTATGTTCAGACATTTTACCCTCCCCCACAGATCCAGGTGTATGTACAGACATCTTACCCTCCCCCACAGATTCAGGTGTATGTACAGACATCTTACCCTCAACCACTGATCCAGGTGTATGTACAGACATCTTACCCTCCCCCACTGATCCAGGTGTATGTGCAGACATTTTACCCTCCCCCACAGATCCAGGTGTATGTGCAGACATCTTACCCTCCTCCACTGATCCAGGTGTATGTGCAGACATTTTACCCTCCTCCACAGATCATCTTACCCTCCTCCACTGATCCAGGTGTATGTGCAGACATCTTACCCTCCCCCACAGATCATCTTACCCTCCTCCACTGATCCAGGTGTATGTGCAGACATCTTACCCTCCCCCACTGATCCAGGTGTATGTGCAGACATCTTACCCTCCCCAACTGATCCAGGTGTATGTGCAGACATCTTACCCTCACCCACAGATCGTCTTATCCTCCCCTACAGATCCAGATGTATGTACAGACATCTTACCCTCCCCCACAGATCATCTTACCCTCCCCCACAGATCATCTTACCCTCCCCCACTGAACCAGGTGTATGTACAGACATCTTACCCTCACCCACAGATCATCTTATCCTCCCCTACAGATCCAGATGTATGTACAGATATCTTACCCTCCCCCACAGATCATCTTACCCTCCCCCACAGATCCAGATGTATGTACAGACATCTTACCCTCCCCCACAGATCCAGGTGTATGTACAGACATCTTACCCTCCCCCACTGATCCAGGTGTATGTACAGACATCTTACCCTCCCCCACTGATCCAGGTGTATGTACAGACATCTTACCCTCACCCACAGATCCGGATGTATGTACAGATATCTAACCCTTACCCACTGATCCAGGTGTATGTACAGACATCTTACCCTCCCCCACAGATTCAGGTGTATGTACAGACATCTTACCCTTACCCACAGATCATCTTATCCTACCCTACAGATCCAGATGTATGTACAGACATCTTACCCTCACCCACAGATATCTTACCCTCCCCCACAGATCCAGATGTATGTACAGACATCTTACCCTTACCCACAGAACATCTTACCCTCCCCAACAGATCCAGATGTATGTGCAGACATCTTACCCTCCCCCACAGATATCTTACCCTCCCCCACAGATCCAGATGTATGTACAGACATCTTACCCTCCCCCACAGATTCAGGTGTATGTACAGACATCTTACCCTTACCCACAGATCATCTTATCCTACCCTACAGATCCAGATGTATGATCAGACATCTTACCCTCACCCACAGATCCAGGTGTATGTACAGACATCTTACCCTCACCCACAGATCCAGGATATTGTAAACTCCCAACACTGACTCTTGCACTCCCCCTACATATTAAGGTGTGTGGATAACAAGAGATAAAAAATTTGTTCATATGTCAATAATAATATATTGATAGTCCCTCAAGGTTGCTGTCCTGGTGAACGTAATTTGAGTTGCTGGGACAATGCTGTTATCTATACTGGTTTCTCTTTTGCCAGATGCAGAGCTTTCTGAATTTTATATGACTTTCTCAAAGATGTGTTGAACATGTTTCTATGGTAACCCAACAACAGCTGTATATTTCTCTGTTATTCTTCAAACATAGTCATTGTTTTAAAGCGGTTTTCATGGATCAATACATGTGTTGCTGTCAGCAGTCAGGTAGACTGCATCAGACGACTCACTGCATGGCCACAGGTCTCCACACTGTCCACACTTCAGGTCTTCATAATGGCAGGATGGAGACTATTTAGCAGGAGACATCTCCAGAAAAAAGAAAAGGTACTTTTTCATCGTTTTCTAATCATCACTGGTTCAAACTGGATTTATTAAAATGATGTCCCTGAATGCACTTGCTATTTACACCGATAGGAAAATACATGCTTCAAAGTTGATATTTTGCTAGATATGTGCAAATAAAAAAGTTCTGTAATTTCTACCTCAATCTGTGTTTGTTCGCAGTTGATTGTAGTTCAATGGCTTACTGCTTTGTGTTGCACCATCAAGTGTTTCATTAGAATATTTTCTTTACTAAATTTGACAAAGGCATAATATTATTTCACACAGATTACAGATACACCTCCCAATACTTTGAATGGCAATTAGAAGCGATACATGTAACGAAGAGAATTTATGGATGTGCCACCACCCATCTGTCATATCATTACTTTCTTGTTCTTACAGGTACATATATATGCTCTCTGCTTCATAGCTTTCATTCACCTGATGAAGAAGTAAGCATATTCTCAAAAATGTTGTGTTCCTCCTAATAAAGATTGACACCCATAAATTCTCTGCCTTACCTCCCAAATGTACAGTAGGATAGATATTGTGTAGTTGTTTTAATGTTTCAGTTGTTCGAAATAATGTTGGTAGTACAGATAGCAGGACTTGACCATGAGGCTGTCTTACTGAAGAGTGTACAGGAAACTCAGTATCTTGGCATTCCAGTTACCATTCTGAATTCCCTGGGAAGTATACAGCCCATGCTGCCACCAGACACTAGACGGTTTTTACATTCACTTCACATATCAGGTCCCCCCATTCTCTGCTGGGTGAACAGAGGCACATTTGACCTAAGTTACTTGCCCAGGTGACACCACACATTTTGACACTTGTGTTTTGGGTGATTGTATGCATTCGTGTTAAGTGCCTTGCTTTAGATACACCAAGTGAGCTCCAGTTCTATGTTTGCATGTATTTCTGTCAGCTTCATTTCTGCATTATTTTAAAGAAATCAATATGAAATGTTCTAAATATACCACGTTCAGGGAATTACAACAGTTCAAGTAACATACTCATGAATGACAATCTCCTTACAATAGTGTCTTAAAATCAACAATTGCATACAACATTAGTGAGAAGTACATGGTCCATTTGTCTTCTCACCCAAAGGGCAAACAGAGTATACATGTTTAGATGTGTAATACTGTCATGTAAACCACTGTATAGGGCCAGACCTGTAGAATTTCCTGTTTGACAGATCCACCTGTCACGTTTTAGCTTCCCACCCCAAAACTAAAAACTAAAACTAAAACTACCTTAAAATTCTGAAACAGGAAATATTTGTGACAAGTCATCCTTCATTTAACAATGTTCAGTTACATTGATACTTTGACTGTTCTCTCCTCTCTGTGTGTATTATACACAAGTAAATATGGTAATATGCACAATGCAGTAATAAATGTAGTTATCGTTTGTTTGATTTGTGTTTATGGCCCAGTGACCAAAAGTACTTTTTACCACATGGAATGTTACCAGAATGTTCATTGATTTGTTCAATTAGGAAAAGATGTACCTATACACCAAAACAATGTATTTCTAAAGATGAACCAATTAACCTGCAATACATTGTATGATTGTATTGATTTAGTGTTCTAGTTATGGGCTATTACACTTTGCAGTGTCTTGATTCATGGGAAATATTTTCAGGTAGAGTATGTCGCTTGAAGGAACCCGTATTCACATCTAATATACAAACACATTATATCTGAGTGGCCAAGGGAATGATTACAGATTGGATTTAAGGGGAGATAATTCTTAATTCCCTAATGCTGTGGCTTACTTAAGTCACTATGAATATCTTATGTTTTGGAATATCTACCCATAGTATGTATGGAACCTATTGTATATATGGAACCTATTATATATATGGAACCTATAGTATATACGGAACCTATAGTATGTATGGAACCTATTGTATACATGGAACTTATTATATATATATGGAACCTATTATATATATGGAAACAATAGTTTATATGGAACCTATAGTATATGTGGAACTTACAGTATGTATGGAATCCTTTATATAAATGGAACCTGTTATATATATGGACCCTATTTTATATATGGAACCTATAGTATTTACGGAACCTATACTATGTATGGAACCTATTATATATGTGGAACCTATTGTATATATGGAACCTATTATATATATGGAACCTATTGTATATATGGAACCTATTATATATATGGAATCTATAGTATATATGGAACCTATGGTATATATGGAACCTATTGTATATAATATATGGAACCTATTGTATATATGGAACCTATAGTATATATGGAACCTTTATATATATGGAACCTATTGTATATATGGAAGCTATTGTATATATGGAATCTATTTTATATATGGAACCTAACATGTAATTTTTGAAGGCTTGAGCAAAAACCACTAGACATGTGGCCCACATGCTTGATTACGGAACACTCAGTGGGTGTGTTAACAACAGCTGCAACCACTGCCCACTGATGATGTTCATGCACAGTCAAATGATTGATGTTTGTACAAGAACTAACTTCAGTAATGCACTGTCAGTTGATGGATGCTTGTACCAGATCTAACGTCCAGTAATGCACGGTCAGTTGATTGAAGATTGTACAAGAACTAACGTTCAGTAATGCACAGTCAGGTGATTGATGATTGTACAAGAACTAATGTTCAGTAATGAACAGTTAGATGATTGATGATTGTACAAGAACTAACGTTCAGTAATGCACAGTCAGGTGATTGATGATTGTACAAGAACTAATGTTCAGTAATGAACAGTTAGATGATTGATGATTGAACAAGAACTAACGTTCAGTAATGAACAGTTAGATGATTGAAGATTGTACAAGAACTAACGTTCAGTAATGAACAGTTAGATGATTGATGATTGTACAAGAACTGACGTTCAGTAATGCACAGTCAGGTGATTGATGATTGTACAAGAACTAATGTTCAGTAATGAACAGTTAGATGATTGATGATTGTACAAGAAGTAACATTCAGTAATGAACAGTCAAGTGATTAATGATTGTACAAGAACTAATGTTCAGTAATGCACAGATAGATGATTCGTGATTGTACAAGAACTAATGTTCAGTAATGCACAGTCAGGTTATTGATGATTGTACAAGAACTAATATTCAGTAATGCACTGTCAGTTGATGGATGCTTGTACCAGAACTAACTTCCAGTAGTGAACAGTCAAATGATTGATGATTGTACAAGAACTAACATCCAGTAACGCACTGTCAGTTGATGGATGCTTGTACCAGAACTAACGTCCAGTAATGCACGGTCAGTTGACTGATGATTGCACAAGAACTAATGTTCAGTAATGAACAGTTAGATGATTGATGATTGTACAAGAACTAACGTCCAGTAATGCACAGTCAGGTGATGGATGCTTGTACCAGAACTAACGTCCAGTAATGCACGGTCAGTTGATTGAAGATTGTACAAGAACTGACGTTCAGTAATGCACAGTCAGGTGATTGATGATTGTACAAGAACTAATGTTCAGTA